ACACAACACACAACAATATATATATATATATATATACATATATATATATATATATATATATATACATACATACATACATGCATACATACATACGTACATATAAACATGGATACATAAACATACACACACACTCTCTCTCGCTCTCTCACACACACACACACACATATATATATATATAATATCTAGATATAAATACGACTAAACAAGTCAGTCAAAAATTACAGTGGATCTACCAGATATACTATATTCTTTTCAGGGCAACACCCCGCTGATTTATGACATTGTACGGTAGTAGACTAAACACATGCGTAAAACATACTTGTGTTTGTTTTCTTATCTATCACCTCCAAGTCTTCATATGCGGCATCATCATGCTCCTCGATGAGGTCGTCCGATTGGTACCTACCAAGTTGGAAACTGAATAGTTTGCACTCAGGATATATACCTTCGGCAATGGTCTTTTGCAGCAGATCTAAAGCCTTCTCACTACTGAGTGCTGCCGCATTGAATCTGTGTGCGGTACTTCCCGCCCCATATGTGTTTGAAACATGCTGTGTTTGGGTGTGCGTGGGGTTGCCTCCCTTCGCATCCTTGTCTGTTTTAAGTACACTATTCTTCACGTCCGAGTCTTCATTACTAAGTTCCCAGTCACGCTCTTTAATACTCTGCATACAACAGTACGCCGCGTTCGCTAGTCGGTTTGGCAACAGACTGGTAATGATCACTTTCCCACCCACACCCCTTCGTGGCCGCTTTCCCAACACCTTCATAAGTTTAAACTGTCGAAACTGCCTAGCTGTCTTCTCCTTATCATTGCACCAGTCTTCAATCAACTTCTGTGCTTCCGCCAGTGAATCTGCATCTACTTCTGCCTTTTTATTTATTGCCGCACTCACGGTGCCATGGGGTACATCCATGTCCGGCTCCGAGTCTCCGCCATCATGTGTTGCACTTGCGCCTTCTATAGATGTCATGATAGCTATCTCAGTTCAGAATAGTTCGGGGCAGACTACCTAAAGGCTAAAGCAGGCGAATATGTATTATGATGATGGTGTTTCGGGATGTCGAGAATGTAGATATGATTGGGCATGCACGTGGGCTGTTTATTTTGACTGATCCTTATCTTGATGGAGTTATAAATGGAGTTGAAAAATCAAATTTGATATTTACTTCCATATATATCATCAATCATGTGGTTGTTAATACGATGATGATTTGTCAATAGCATTTCCGACTATATTGTACTTACGACTGTCGCTGTGTCGCATGGTACTATACAACATTGCATCTCATCACCAAGCAAGTTTGCACAATTGTCGGAAATTTGAATCAAATATAGCACATACGTTATTAAAGAAGCATATAGTCGAACCGTAATTTCTACAATGTTTCCATTATTTTGTTTGCTCGATATGATTCTACCTAGTTTGGCCGTTGGAATCAACACAAACGACTTGTTGTATTGTATAGTCAGTGGGATGATTAATGTGGACCATATTGTCGTGCTTTGTAGCACTGTTCACAAACTTCGACGAGCAACTGTCGAGAACTTTATGATAAAGAACATATATATGCCAGAAACTTGATGAGCATTGCTGTTTACTACACATAGAAACATCATTGGTTGTAACTGTTGTGCCAGTAGAGTATGCTTTTTTATATCAAGCACGTGTTTCTACATGATCGACAGTGGAATGGCTTTGATTCGATTCGAGTTTTCTGACAGTTAATCCGTATTAGCGTCTTCAATGTTATCAATACGTGCCAATCGAGATTTCTCACATACAGTCACTATTGGTATTTCCAGCACCTGATAAGGATATATTAGATTCATCGCTATCCCTAAATGTACACAAAGTTTCTACGTGTTCAATTGCTACAATATGTGGTTCAAACGAAAGACTTCTTCATCGAAGGTATTGCAACCGCAAATCGATGAAACACGACGCTACATCGAAGAACTGGAGAGTGTGATCGCCTCTCTGCAGGATCAGAGACTACTGGAAGGTATGCACAATAAACGCTGCTTGCCTATTTAAGATACTTAACGTATTTTTATATAAAATCTGGAGGAGATTTTGTGCATTGATATGTTTCAATCGATACCCATTCAGCTAGATCGCAACATGAAAAATTGAATATCAAATACTAAAGAACATCGACATTGCACCTTACTTGTTCTGCAGAGAAGTTCAACAATACGATAGTTGCCAGGTTAGAGACTATTGAAACACAGCTACCAATGGGTCGCCCGGAATACCGTTGGCCCGCTCGCACTCGCTCGGTGCCAGTTTTCCCGCTAAAAGCTAGTTTAGTAACACCACCTGTCGACGTTGAGCAGAATTCAGAGGTTGTTGCAGTAGCCTCTGAGACGACTGGCGATGCTGAAATTCAGAAAGACGAAAACGACTGCGATGGAAGCACGATTATTGCTTTAGATTCTCAGGAACAGAAATCAGTCACGAGCAACGCTGTCGACGAAGATACGGATGGCAAACTAGAGATGCCAGCAAGCGAATTTGTGCTATCTGTTGAAGACACGTCCAGTGCCGAGAACCGGATGAGTCTGATCTCGACTCCGGCCCACCTAGTCAAGTCTGGCGCGCTACAGCGAGCTATTGCGGAAGGTAAGGCTTCTACATATTGGTGTTCTGACTCTAAGTTTGAATACTTAGAAATATTGAGAATCCTTTTCTGTATTCCTTATTACCAGGGCTGTACGGATAAGTATCCAAACTTTTCTCCCGTATTTCCTCATCAATCGATACTTCACTAAGCAACCCTTTCAAATCATCCTACAGATCTTCCAGACGAGGCTACTATTCTCAGCCGCATGACAACAACCACACAGGGGGATGGACACGAACGCACTCATATACCATTTCCAGAGGAATCGCACATGATCGACCTGATGTTGCTATTTTCAGAGACTGTGATGGTACCGTTTGTGGTCGAAGAACTTACTGATAGAGAACGGGAGATAGACGACATAGTGATTGATCTACAAGTCGCCTGTACCCTGTCTATGAGGGTAAGATGTTGCACTCTGTATTATTGGTGTTTCGTTTAAAAAGGTACAGCCAATTTTTCTCTGCTAGGAATAGATGCAATATTCGATTGGTAACGATTATCTAGTAACCTGGCAATGAAAAATAATCTCTATATACTGATTCTAACATGAATGACTTTGTACACACAGATTGTCTCGGCCTACTTCTCTAATCTCAACAAGCTAGTAAAGAGAACCGGTTTACCAAAAGGAGAAGAGGCTACTTTTCGTGCGTATACCGAGGCGACGATCAAGACTAACTGGTCAAAAATATTTACCACAAACATGATAGGGCATTGGTATGATGTAAAGTTTCCAGAAACTATTTCATCGGATTTATCAGACTTCGTCATATCATTGTGCGCGTGGCAGTATCTGTCCGGTGTGATGGGAAGCGGTATACTCAAACATGAATTCAACTTCAATGATCTCGGAGTGTCCACGTGGTACGACCCACTGGAGCACAAAGCTCTGCCATCACAAGGACTCGGCTGGAACCTTCTTCAACCTGGAGACCGCTGCTCTATTATCTGGCCAGGACTGCAGAAACAACGGCATGTCTCGAGAGTGAGGGCGATTGTGGTGCCCCTTTTGAGACAGCACGAGTATTACTCGCCCAAAACTTCCGCAAACCAAGTGGGAGATGTTCAAACAATGTCAATGTCGGTGATAGATCTGACTATAACACCCTCACTAGATGCCTGTCTGGCTAATTCACATGCAACCATGGACATAGATGCACTCACGAGTGCCACTAAGGTCGAGCACGATGTCACGAGAACGGCGTCAAAGGACTCTGTCAATACGTACACCACTGCCCCTAGTACACCTGACATGGGCACCTCGCAAACCAAACACGCATATACGTTACCCATACGGCAGCGGACGAGAAGTTCGGTAGGCGAGTCTGAACAGGCCCTGTCTCCGACAACTGCACGCTTGAGACAGAACACCTGCGTGTATCCCATCTCGTGGTACCTTCAACAAGACGAAGAGGGGATCTGGCCGGAATTGATCCCCGTGGTGGTACCCCCCGTACCAGACAACGAGGCGACGAGAAGACAAACGCTATTCAAGCACTCGCACGTGGTCAAACCTCTCGCTGTGGGCAGGCCCGATCGTAAGTACTCTAAAGTAGAAGATCGATCTAACAACGGGGGAGGAGACTGGGCCAAAATGAAGACTATCAAACGAGCGCGTTCGGCCATCAGACATGGCGAGCGTTCCCATGGTTACAGCGAGCCCAGCGAAGAAGAGAAGAGTACGCTTATGCTCTTCATGGGCAATGAAGCACCCAGCAAGAAAACTATACGTTCTTGGCTGTCGCGGACTCCGTCTTCCGGCAGAAAAAAGTCCGCCAAGCCCGCCATGATTCGGGGTGTAGTGCACTATTGAGGGGTTGGAACGGCATCGATTGTAACCTATCTATTCATTTAGCAGTGGCGAAGGAGTCGGGCAAGTAGAGAGGTTAGAGACTGACGAGAGGAGTGTAAATATGACGAGCTTTTGCGTTTCTTCGGTCTTATATTTATACAAGAAGCAAGAGTTTTATACAGTTCATAGTATCTATTTAGATTCTTGAGTTTTGATGGCGCCAAAAGTTGTCAAAAGTATTGTTGACTTCCGAATATGGATTACGGACTCTCTTGCAATTAAAAAAAATAAAAATAAAATACAAATGTTCAGAGTGGTTTGGCTGAAGGATTGACATGGACCGGTGCACTGGGGCAGTGTAACTGTGCACAGGGCAGCTGCGGGCTGCGGTGTATTTATTAAAAACACACTACTATGCTAAATACATACGTGTGTATAATAATATCAAAATATAATATTCAAACTTCTACTTCGGCTCTCTTGATTCTATACAGCCCTTTCACATAGTATCTAAATCCTCGTAGTCTCAAGCATGAATTTAACTGCACGCGTTACGGTACAGTAAATGGATTTCTAGAATAGAGAATCCCCATACACAAACACTATGAGCAACGCAACTGTACATAACATCACGGATGAGGGTTCGGATATAACCTTGCGCCGACGCTCTGATTCAGTGGAGGATCAATCTACTGATAAGGGAATAAATTCTGACGAGGAGATAAATATACCCAAGATAGGATCAACACAGAGGAAGGAGCGGAAGAAAGTGTTGATCATATATGTCGGCGGCGTTCTCGGAATGGAATACTCCACAGACGGCTCTTTTTTCATAAGACAAGGGATGCTGACCAACAGACTGATGAATGATGCTGTACGTATATCCGAGTGGAAATTTGGCTAGTAATATCTGTATCTATATCTATATCTATATCTATATCTATATGTACACTTTTACACACGCCCACACACACACACACATGTTACACACACACACACATACACACACACACATACACACTACATATATATATATATATATATATATATATTAGTATAGTATAT